GAAAGATAAGTTTGGAGAGCTGAAGATTGCAGAGGTTAGACGGTCCAACATATTAAATAGACTTGAGACAGACATCCTTCCAGCATCATTATTAGTTTTTTAATATTTGACTAAAGAAAGATTCAGTTACAATTACTCTGCAGTTACTAAGCAACACGTAAACATAAACTGTAATTTAATTTTCTTGTATTCTGACCCACTGGCTGTAATTAGTTAACAACCCCATAGTTATGTGTTATCTGAATTACATTAGGACACCCTTTTATATAAATTTACTCTCCCTCAACTCAGCTTTTCAGTGTTTGAATTTTTTCTATTTTTTTTAGCAACACTACATGAAAAGCAACATCTCATGTGTGCTGGTCGCCTCCAAGGTGGACCTTCCTGAAGGTCTTCGGGCTGGGGAAGACCCCAGCAGAGTTCTGTTTTAAGCACAGACTGTCTTTCTCCATGCTGTCCCTTGACTCCACCAGCAAGAACATCTACACCAGGGTTGCCTGGGCAGCCATGTACCTGTATGTTTCAGTTATTTCTACTTATATGTCACACTTTTCCCTCTCAAAGCAAAGGTAAGACCCTTGCTTCTCTGCCACCTTCTTTTAATGCTTCCCTACTCCACTGCAATTTGTATTTCTTATTAACCCATATTATTTAGTGGCTGAAATACACAATCATGACCAATGAACTTTTTGGAACTAGCACACATGGAGAGTTTGGCACTGAGATGTGGTTCACTTTATTCTTTAGACTTATTCAAATTAGTACTACAATTCTGCCTGTTTTAATTCATTTGTGTAAAAGGGCTTTGATTGATTAGATAAATAAATATTTCAGTGTCTCTTTGCAACTTCGCACACAACTTCCTGTGCTGTTGTGGTTATTTATAGAACTGTTGTGCCTTTGGGTGAAGTTTATCGTGCGCGGATGAGATATGACAAGCTCTGATCAATCATTATGGGCCTGTGTTTTTGATGCTGAAGATTACAAACTAACAAAAACCTGCAGAGCTTTGAATTTGGCCTGTAGAATAGCTGTGGGGAGAACAATGAAGTACACCAGAGAGAACTACTGAAAGCACAGTGAGCACATGCAAACTCGTGACATTGCTTCACAGTGCACATTGTGAAGTCTTTGTTAAACATAAAATCTTTTGAATGACACTCTATTATCATTTGTACTCCACAACGACATGGAATTTAACTGCATGTAGAAAATGATTTTTGCATTTTTTTGCAAAGTGTTGTTTCTGAAATGTTACCTGAAATTGAAGATATTTTTTCCATTTCAAGCAAGAAGCTAGTGTTAGGTAGCCATTTAATACTAGCTGTTTAAACACTGTGAATAAAAGAGGAATAGCTCGACAGCCACCTTCCAGAGACATACATTTATACTAATCTAATGTTTCCACTGTGCAGTAGTTAAAATGAAGTATCTGCTAACACTACTTTCTTTTCTGAAGCAGATGAAAGCTTCAACATGTATAGAAGGGCCTCAATTTATAAACAGCCATATATAGTATTACAGCTTGATATAAATAATCCTTAAAGCATTGGAAATGGCATTTAAATCTCAGTTGTGTCGATCTAAAGAATGCATTTGTATCTCTTTATATTAAGCTTAACAAACAACTTTTTAGCAACTCCTTAAGATGTTGATAAAACCTTACTTCAAATCAAATCAGATTAACTGGTTTTCCATTACAATTAAGTACCACCTAATATAGTAATGCAACTGCGCGTCCCTTGACCTAATTAGTATGCAACACGAACGCTATCTACAACAAAGGTCGGCGCTGAGGCGACGATATACCTCCTGCTCATTCTCTTGGTTTTTGTCAGACTCGGGGACCACTGTGTTGTTTTTTTTCGCTTATTGCCAGGTTTTAAAAATGGCAGTTTTGATTTTTGTGAAGGAGACGCTCTCATGACTCACTAACGCCACTGACCAGCTAATTGGTGGCGTGACGTCACATTTTAGTACCAGCTCAGATCGCTTTGGAACACGAACGGGTACTATTTTAGTACCTGGTACCAGGTACTATGACCTAATGGTAATAACTTAATTGTAATAGTGCCCGGCTGTGCCTAAAAACCTAAGGCCTGGCCACTAGGCAATCCCCCTTGGGAACCCTCCCAAGGCCTGGCTCCAGGGCGGGGCCTCAGTAACCCTATCCCAGAGAAAGTGAATTGTTCCCTAGATTTTTCACTCATACGGGTTTTTGAATCACTCTTTGACTGGCTCCTCACCCAAGACCAGGAACCCATTATGCTTCTTTCCAACTCTATATTTTTATTCTTGGAGTCCTCTAGCTATTCATGATTCACACCTTAAAATAATTTTATTTTCCCTCTCCTTTAAGACGACTCTTTTCTGATTGTCTGATGTCCTCACAAATAGATCTGTATGCCTGAGATGACCATATCAATATGCGCTCCAAGTGACATCATACAGAGCCAAGAGTAGAAAAAACTGTCAGAAACAGTGTTTTTGTCCGCTGCTGTGTTTTCAAACATTTGTGAAAGAATGGGTTCACTGAATTTGAACCTTGCACAGGATGCAACTGTTACAGAAAGCCAGTTTGTAAAAAGTCTTCCCTCCTATATATTCAGTGATCAGCTGTAAGTGGTATTATATCAAAATGGAACCTCAGCAAGTTAGTCATTAAGTCAGGCTTGTCACTTAATGACCAAGTGGCAAGCCACATAAAATTACACAGCTGGGTCGCTGAATGCTGAGCCACATAATCTGTAAAAGTCATCAACACTGCTGACTCAGTAACTGCGGAGGTCCAAACCTTCTCTGGCATTACCATCAGCGCAAAAGCCATTCGCGGGGACCTTCACAACAAAGCAGTTTCTGTAGGTGTAATGTGTAGGTAGCCCAGTACTTTTGTTCATATGACAGAAAATAAAGAAGTGAGGAAATAATTAAAGAAAGTTTCCTTTAATTGCAGTAGTAGCTTTGAGTACCTTTAGAGGGTTAGGAACATCAAAAGCAGGCAAAAAAACGGGACACACAAGCAAAGTGTGTCTAGATCACTAAAAATAATTAGAGGGCGCATCCGTCAGAATTTGGGTGCGTGAGGGTTACGTACTTGCTACACAAGATAAAAAGTAACGTTATCGGTGGGTTGTTCTGCTTGCCTTCTTATAAGTTTAGTGTTTAGAGACTGACCGCCATTTTTGCGAGAGATAGCTGCCCCTCCCTAAGCCTGTTTCAGTGATTTCTTCTTGTTAAAAGGGAGTTTTTCCTTCCCACTGTCACCAAAGTGCTTGCTTGTAGATTGCCATCTGATTGTTGGGGGTTTCTGATTTTTTCCCTGTATTATTGTAGGGTCTTTACCTTATATAAAGTTCAATGCAGTAACTGTTGTTATGACTTGGTGCTACATACACACATGAAATGGTCAAGTAGTCAGCAATGTTCATGTCAACCTTTGTGGATCAGTAATACTGATAACTGGATAACAGTCCCAGGATTTCAAATTCTTCACTAAATACTGGATTCATTTTCAAAATAAAATGATGTCATGGTTTTATGACTCATGGGATGCATATTTTTTTTGTTTTCTAGTTACTCAGAAGCATGTTTCAGTTTAAAATGGAGAACATATTTAAAAAATGTATTTCAGTCATTTACTGTAATGACCTAAATGAATAATTACACATATTTTTGCTTTAAATTTCTCCCAGACTCAGCTGTTATATTACCCCACTATATGTGCTCACTTGGCGTTACAATCCCACCACCTCAAGCTGCATAATCAAAATCACACACTTCTTACAAGCACTGGTTTGTATTAACTAGCACTAATTTCTTTCTTTCTCCAAGTTACAAACAACAACAAAAAACATAAAATTGTGCCTCAAAACACAGCATGATGCAATAACTCACATATTTTGTGCCCTGAGTTCACAGTTTTTCCCAATCTGGAGCATCAGCCTGGAATCTGAAAAACATGCTGCACTTCGCTTTCAAGTGCACTTCAAAGAACCTGACGGTGATGACAGACATTCGTGCTCTGGTTTTCTCTTCTCTGCAGAAATATCTGCACAGTTACGACTCTTTCTTTTGTGTGCAAATAACAAACCCATGCCTGTCCTCCTGTTCAGAATGCACTAAGTCATCTTAAATAAATGGCAGCCAGGAGGAACACAAGCAGATCGCAACCCAGGTCCATCATTTTCCACACTCTCTACATTTCCTTAAATATATACGTTTCTAAAAATCCCAGTCAGGCCATTTGAAATTCAAGACCAACAGATGGTGCTCTGGAGTCTTAAGATTGCCCTCTATGAGAACAGACTTTAACTTGCATTTGTGCTGTAGATTTTAGATTTTTTTTTCCTTGATGATGATGTATGTTTTAAAACACCATAAAGTAGCATTAGCATCAGCCTGAAAGTTGCATTATTACCGCTTGCTGTGCAGCCCACTACACTATATAAGCCACACTTATTAAAAAAATGTATATAATGCAATCTTATTACATTGTAATACACATTAAGTTCAGGCTTTGCTCCTGTACAGCCTTTATAGATTCTTTTCACGTGCAGTTTCCATAACTATTAGTGCATGATGTGTGTTGTGTCCTTTTTTGGCCTGCTACCATTTATTTTATTAGTAATTCATTAGGAAGCCATTTCTGTGTATACCTTTAGACTTTTCTTTCATATGTAAAAACCAAACCGTATTCCACAAGCTGAATTTAAAAAAATAATGTTTTTTCATTAGTGCAATAATGGAATAATATTGACGTGGATACACACTACACTCTGGCCTTTTGACTCGCAATTAAAGTATTAGCACAGGCAATTTCAACAACATCAGAGTTTTTGTACGGAAGTTAAGTGGGCCTTTAAACACCACCTAGCATGAGGGAAAATATTAGCACTTCGGAAGATTTTCTATTGGTCCACGAAAGAAACGGCCTGGCTTTTGGGCGTGTCCACCTATTCCGATTGGACGAAGCCGTTGTCTCTCAGCCCCACTCTCTCCCCTTCACCTCTCCACCGACTGAATGTCCGGCCCGAACGAGGATTTGCACGAAAACATCAACCGCAGACTGCGTATCAGTACCAGAGGGGGAGCAGCTCTACGACGAACAGGACCTGACGCTATTCATCCAGCGGCATGACAACCACGTCGATGGCTTTTCCGAAGTTTGATAACGTTCCGGTGGCCCTGAAGCGAGACGTTAGAAGCGCGAAAAAGATTTAACGGCAATGACCGCGCTATCACTTGTTTGATAGAAAGACAGAGAGGGGGGGCCGAAGTGGACTCCCTCCCCCTCAGTGAAGAGCCGTTCCGCCCGATGGAGACTGTGACGGGACCTCTGCAGCGAGCTCGAGGCCCGGAGCGTCACCTGTGAGACGTCGACACCTCGCCGGAGGACGTAATTAAGAGAGACACGCGAACATCTGTCCGCACTTTCGACGACTTTATTTGACAAGTTCTGCCCAAGCCTGCACGCTAAAACTAAAGTTAGCAGCTCGGCGTTAGCTGCAGGAGGCGACCCCGCGCACAAGATGACCAATATAGATATCACTTAACGAGGGGTTACGCACTGCCTCAGGTAACCTCGGGACAGGTGAACTGCGCACTGTTAAATGGCTTTGTTCTAGAAAGCATACATCAGCAACTTGCGTCAGTCTTTACTGTGAGAACTGATTTTTCCCCCCTCAAACACGGACTTTTAAAATAAGTCTTTTCTGTTTTTTCCTCATCGAGTGTCGCTCCCTCAATCAACCATGTCACTCAAAGACAATCCCTGTCGGAAATTTCAAGCCAACATTTTCAACAAAAGTAAATGCCAGAACTGCTTTAAGCCCAGAGAGTCGCATCTGCTCAACGACGAAGACTTAAACCAGGTAAACAAACGCTCCAGCAACTTTCCATTGCGTTTCACTCTTACTATGTGCCGTTTAATGGGAGTGCAAATCCTGTTGCTGTCTTTTCTGTTTAATGTGCTCATTTCAAACGACTTGTCGTGTGCTAATAGACCACGATGTGCAAAGGTTGGGTTAATTGGACATAATTAGTTTCCAGCCCAAGGGCGCATATTGACCCTAATTCATGCACACGCAGGCTTCCACCCAGCTCCATGCCCTGCAGCACAGGAGCGACGCTATCAGCTGCTTTTACAGGAGCTGTAATTATTTCAGATTATGTTGTCTCCTTTGATCATTTAACTGTAGTTTGAACCATACTATTGCTTAAATTAAGAAACTGTAAAGTTTACTTTAACATTGACTAATATTGGGCGAGGCTGACTTATTATTATTATTATTATTATTATTATTATTATTTTAGTGGAGATATTTCACTGTTTACATTGTCCCCAGCAGGGAGTCTTATGTTGTGAAGGTGGTATGGTGTCATGCTGAACTTTGTTGACCCACATTGTGATCATTCCTCTTGGGAGTCTTGTTTAATGGGATAGATCAAGGCTCATTCTCAGGTCTGAAGATTGTACAAGTGATGCTTTTTCAGTGTCTGTGAGACACATTGTCCACTATCATTGTCCTCCATGATGTTGGTACAGAAATTGGCTTATGTTTGTTGGCCTCACATGGCTATTAAAGATTATTAGATTGTCTGTTGCTGGAGGTTTGAAGTCCTGTAGTCCATATATTAAGTCCTTATACAGACACACGCACAGAAAAAATATGGAAAAGCGGAGCATCTATTTTCAACCAGAACTGTCATTCTGACCTCCCATCTCTCCAATTTCACTTGCCTTAAAGGCCCAGGCTATTGAAGCAATATTAATATATCCTTTATGATGACATGGAATAAGAGGTTGTGAGGTGGGGGGCATTGCGAAATGAAGACACAGGAACACGCTCAGATGAGTACATTTAACCGCTGAACCATTAGAGGCTAAAAAGTGACCTAGATTCATCACGCTTATTTCTCAGTCTCAGGGGGGACTTGCCATTGGTATGGCTGTCAAGTCTTATAAGGAGAGATGAGATGTTTTTCTAAACTGTGTTTTTTGTTTGTTTTTTTTCTTTCTACAGGCATTAAAACAACAATGCACAACAACAGTGTCCCACTCTCTTATTCTTTCAGTTGCCTTCATCTTGCAGTTTTCCCCTCCATTTTTAGTGTCTGAATGTTTCTCTTGCAAGTCTGTTCAAACTCTTGACGGTCCAAGGTTATAATTTGGACTTGTGCTTGGAAATTAATGTTATGTCATTTTGTTTACACAGTCACTCAGCTGGAAAATGTGCTGTGCTGCATGTAATCAAAGCAAAAGAGGATTTTATGGTGGATTATGCTCGGCCGTACATAGGGTGAAGTTATGACTGTAATCAAAACCTCAGATTGAAAGACATGGAAGTGCCAGACAGCTGGATATGTCAAGCTCTTTTGACTCAGATTTGTTTGCTACTGTTTCATAGTCTGGGGGGCGAAGCACACGTGCATTTATGTAAGACGCTTAATTTGATAAGCTCTTTAGGCACAGGTAAGATCTTAATGTAAACATCAAGTTCAGTGAGGTCTCCTGCGCGCAGTATGCATGCAGTGGTTATGCAGGGCTTCTTGGCTCGGCAGACAAGTGCTGACTACTAGCGTGGCTACAGTTCAAGTATGTACCAGAACAACTTAAGAAACACTGCCAGGCCAACTTGCGTCTCTCAGTACATGTTTGAATTGCAAATCTGTAGCCACAAAAGCTTGGCACTAATTCTCTCTTCTGCTTCTCATCCACTGCTTTTTTTTTTTTTGTTTGTTTTTTTCCTCCTAACTTCTGCCTCTTGCTTCCCCCACCACCCACCAGTCCACCCACTTAGAGGATCAGAAGAAAAATTGTGTGTGTGTGTTAGCCTTTCCTTTTTCTTTTTTTTCAGGGCAGCATGGTGCTCTGGAATAAAGCCAAGTGGCGAGTGTAGCCTAAAGTCAAGGCAGCTAATGTCTATTATAACACTTTCATGGAGTTTAACACATGTTTGTGAGTGTGTGCATGTGTTTTTAAATAGGTCATAGTATGTGGTCTCAAGTTGCAGAATCAACTTCTGTGTCCCATAATTAGACAGTTATTTATTATGCTAATGATTGCTTCCAACACTGTCATTGTGTTTTCCACTCACCAGGCAAAACCTATATATGCAGGATGGCTGCTCCTGGCACCGGAGGGAACAAATTTTGACAATCCCTTACACAGATCTCGGGTAAGTGGTTTCATAAGTGTTTAGCTTTGCTGGTGGTGAGATTGCTTGTGTTTAGAAGAGAGCATTATGTTGTGACTTCACCTCTTCTTGACTTTCTTTTGGAAGTTTTGGCAGAAATTCATGGCAAGAAACTGGCGCTCTTTATAAGAGAAGAGGTCCATTTAACCCCCCCTGTGTTTAGCTTCTGCTCGTCTGAATGGTTGATTGGTGTAGTGGTTTTGATTTTATGTTAAACTGCTTTGAGGAAAAATGAGCAGCTAGTTTGGTTTTGAGCTGACAGATGACGCTATGGCATGGCGAGGCATCCGCTGTCTGCCCGTCTGTCCACTGTTCGCAAGAAATGCTGCTCCTCTTACAGTGTTGGTCACCTAATAGGTTTTCACCCAAGGTGTGAGAAGCTTAGGGGAAACTTGTCATCCTAGTGTACTGATTTTAGTGACACTTGCACACAGTGATCATCTAACAGGTCTTTGCCCAAGTTATGCTCAAGGTCAAGTCAAATATGGATACTGATGAAAAGTTTTGTTGAGGACCAAGAAAAAAAAAAGTGTGAAATCTATGTCCAGTAACACGTATCTATGGATTAAAGGTTGTAACTTTTTTCACAAACTGCTGTGAGACTGTATTGGAGCCTTTCTGGAGCGTCTTGATGTGCTTGCGTGGTTTCTATTCAGGTACGCTGCCTTCCTCCCACAGTCCAGACATGATTGTTGGGTAATTGGTGATTCTAAATTGCCCAGAGGAGGGATTGAGAGTGCAGATGGCTGTCTAGTTACCAGGGTGTACCCCGACCATCATCCACTGGCGGAAATCCCAGCATAGCCATTATCCATTTTTCTTGTCTGTGATGATTTTTGTTTTGGTTATAAGCTTACAGTTGTAGACCCCCCACCCCATTTAGCTAGGCAAAGCTATGTTGTTTACCACCAAAGTTCTAAGCTAAGTTTGTTTTACCAGCTCAGTGCTAGGTAAGTAGCATGGCTACTCCTCCCTTTAATTTCCTTTATCCATTCTGGCACTCATTTGATAAACAAGAGCTCTTGTTGTTGTGGCTTCAGTGGCTACTTCATGAAATCAGCAAATTCTTATGGGAATCTCGGTCCTCTGTCAGTGAAGCCTCATTGTTAGGAAATAATGAGCCTAATATTGACTTCATTTAATAACTCTTACCACTGCAGTATCGTGTAATCGGAGCCGTCGTTTATCAGCTGCCAGAATATATGCTGTGGTGGTGCATCCCAAAAAGAGGACTACGGAGAATGTGGGGGAGGAGAAGAAAGGTCTCAGTTCTCACAGCCTCGCTGATGGCTTCCATATGAGTTTTGGGAAAAGCACCTCTGGATCTACTATCAACAGTCTGCTGCTGCTTTGACATCATCAGTGATGCGTTCTGCCTATTCTCCCAGTCAGCGTTTCACTGCGGGGGTATAATTGCTGGCTTGTACGTAGTGCTGACGTGAGCACATTTGTCAGGTTTACACTGAAACAAATAACAGAGAAACAGAAAACCGCTGATGTCTCAGGTGAGTCACGTTTTAGGGTCACTTTAGTTTAACAGGTTGTGGAGGGGTCTGGCTCTGTTTTGTGACAGTGAGTCTGGAATTGTATAATCAGCCTCTGTAGCCTGTAATATATCGTGTTTGTTTTTTTTGTTTGGTTTGGTTTATTTTAAAAAGCATCTGTGGACTGCAGTGTCCCTTTAACATTGCCTGTGAGGCTTCTCGGCCCCCCTATTGAGACCTTCCAGTGGCCTTTTAGGTTAGAGAGCAGCTCTCAATATTTCATGCACCAGGCCCTGTTAGAATAGGAGCCCAGGAAATTTAACACTGAGACTAAGTGGTACATTAAGATATGAGGGCAGTGGAAGAGAACTGATCAAGACAATGAGGATGAATATCAGTGGAAATTGCATTATTGTAACTGACAGGATTCCCATTCAAACCAAGACTTACCCCCCCCC